AAGTCTTAAAGTACTACCATTTAAAATTTGAAGGGCTAATTTATAAATAGAAAAGTTCAATTCTATAATAGAATTGAGAATGAGATGGTTCCAAATTTGGAACATAAAATAGCATTATTCTATTTTAGAATCAAAAATATAATAGCGTTGAAGCTGAATTTATTCTAAAATAGAATATAGCACCAAATTTAGAATAAGGTTGGAGATGCTCTTACATACATTGTCACCACTACTTACTAAAAAAAGTATCACCAAATAACTATTAGGTATTAACTTTTTTTTCATTAACTTTAAAAGCCCAAAATAAATTTATTAAAAGAATTAAAAGATCTTAAATTTTGATCTCTTTTTATGATTTATTACTAAATTTAAGGACTGTTAAATGCATTAACAAACTAGATTTTTAAGACTTCTTATTAAATACATTACATAACTTCAGTATATCAACTAATTTTGTATATATATATATATATATATAATATATATATAATATATACATATGCATAAAAACTTTTCTATTGATTATATACATAACATTCTTTCCAAAAAGAAAACATAAGTATGAAAAAATGTATTGTTTTGATGATAGTGGTAACAATAGTAATTGTTGCTATGGTAGAAGATGTAGAAGGACTTTCATGTTTTGACAAATGCTTGTTCAAGTGCAGATTATTTTTTGAGAAATTTACATTTTAAAGCACTTCTACAAAGTTGAGTAACAAAATTAAGGCACTAAGAAGGGAAGAGGTACTTTCATTATACGAAATAACCATTTTATCATTTTCATTCGATACCGAATGTCCAGAACCATTAGACCACGTGGATGAACTTTTATGGATAACCATAACATTTTGTTATTAACCTTCGTGGATAAAAAACATGGATGGCAGAAAAAGACTAAACATAGATGGTAGAGATGGGCAATTAGACTACCGACGAAATAGAAAGTGATGAGATGAATAAATTATCAGCGGAGACATCAAAGGTGTGGAATTGAGAAATTAGGAGATTCAAAGACTTAGGTTTGATTGGAATTCCATCAAAAAGAAATCTGATATAGTTATTAGGTATAGTTATAGTTCTAATGAAGTGAGAAAACTGAATCTGGATTTGGGTTTGAGGTGATTTGAAGACGACAGCGATGGTGTTTCTACATAATCGTAGAAAGAATGTTATGATGGTCAAAATAGGGTTGGCAAATAGTAAAGGAAAATTTGTCTATTCTACTAGCGAAAGTGTGCTTGTGTTACAGAGTGTCTTAAATTGTTATTACACTTGCCTTTGTTGGTAATTTTCTCAACTTTAATTCAATGAGAAAAAGTAGATTAGAATTTGAATATACATTTGTTTAAAAAATCATTTACTATAATATTACTCCAAATGTGTGGATTTGATCTCGCCTCCATGTCTTTTGCATATTAATATGAGATGAGAATTTTAATGGTCTCAAAGGGACGAAGTAATGCAGAAAAAAATAAAAAAAAATAATAATGAATGAAATCTTTATTTTTTACTGCTGTGAGATTGTTACTTGTTTAACTAATGATCCAATGTCTTTTTTTGTCAACTGAAATATATTGGATCAAGGTAGAATACAAGGTATTATATAATGTAAAATATAAACTGAAATACAAAATGAAATATATAAAGGAATACAAGGTATAATATAACTCTTATACGGAGTAAAAAAAAAAATTACATTTTAAGGCACTTCTACAAAGTTGAATAACAAAATTAAGGCACTTAGAAGGGAAGAAGCACTTTAGTCATGCGAAATAAATATTTTATCATTTTTACACAAAACTAAATATCTAGAACCGCCAGACTACTGGATGAATCTTTGTGGACAACCATAATATTTTGTTATCAATCTTTATGGACGAATCTTCGTGACAACTTCATACGTCCACTGGACTGATTTGAGATCAGTGAAGCTCATGCTCACGTGGATGACATTTCATGGACAATCAAACATGTATTGTTTGAATTTGTCTATCCATTTCGCATGCCTTTTGTGAATGAACCTTCGTGGACAGCTAAATGTAATTTTGTATATCCATTTTTAACATCTTTTGTGGATGAACTCTGTAAAATTTATATACTATACCATAAAATAGATATAAAATCGTGGACATCGTAAATTGTTAAGATATTCCGACCACGTGGCTAAACATATGGGGACAACTGTAAGAAAAGAGAAAAAGCAAAATCGGATTAACATATTTTCAATAATGGACAAAATACCTCTTCCCTGCAAAGTGTCTTTTTGTAACCAAAACTCACAAATTGCTTTTTTATGTAAGCCTCTAATAAAAAAAAAACTAAAAACAAAGATACGACTTCAAACTAAACACACGAAAATCAGATCCAAAACCTGCAACTCTTCTAAACCTCCAGAAAACTTGTGCATGAGAAGACCAATGCTGCCCACTGAATCCAAACGATAACCCTTACCTCCTCCCGATATGATAAGAGAACGCCTCTCATCACACAGACACTAAGGCTTCAAAACTCGGGAAGACCAGACTTAAAAATCCTCATAAATCTTCCGAATGCAATAAAGTCGGACACTTCTCGATACGACCATGGAGCACCTAGATATAAACCAACACTGAAACTGGGAGCCAAGCCTTACCCCTCCATAGCACCGAAGATGGTAGACACACGGATCGGGAAGCGTCACCAATGAACTCCAGCAAGCCCAAAAAAACTCGCAAACTAAGGAATTGAACACCAAACAAGGACTCAAGGAAGTCAACCACCGCCTCTAACACCAACAACTCCATATCTGAAAAACAATAAACAGATTTGAATTTACTTTCTAGGAAAACACAACCAGAAAAACAAAAAATTAGACAAAAAAGTAATAATCAAAGCAAACAAAAGCAAAAGACCGCGGCCGATGTCATGGCTATGGAAGCCCACAAACATCGGCCGTCAAAACAGATATATGGTGGAACGGAGAAGAATATAAGAGAAAAGGGAGAGAATATTTTTTAAAGAGAAAAAAGGAAAAATTCTTATATTTTTGATCGAATGTTTTTAAACTATACAATAAGTTATCAATAGTATATATATATATATATATATATTGCTGCAATCGCAGTTTTTTTTGTTATTGTAGTAAAACTATTGGCGAATATATTTTTACTTTTCATTTTCTAGTACAACAAATATTTTGGATTCTTAACCTCATTAAGGAGTTCTACCAAAACTTCATGTTAGAGACAAAGAGATCCAATCAAATTTTTTTTTTTTTATGTTCAAAAAAAAAAAAAAAATTGAGAAGAAGTAGAAGAAAAAAAAAAGAAGAAAAAGAGTTGTGGGGATGATAGTGGTAGTGACAGTAGTGTTACTAGATGTTGGTGATGTTAACGCTAATAACAGTGCGATAAAATCAATAATTGATAATTGTGGTGATGGTGAAAGTTAACTAATGAAAAATTAGCTAAATTGTTAGCGGTTTAACTTTGTATAATTTTATTAAGTTAATAAAGTTACTTAATCAACAACTCATATTTATATTATGTGATATCTTGAATAACATAATAAGTTTTTATATTTTTAATGTTAAGATAATTTGATGAACATGATAATCTATAATAGAGAATATTACACTCTAAGGCACTTATCCTAATAAAATTGGATACTTTTTGCTAACCAAGATATTTTTTGCTCTTTTTCTATTGATGTAATTTCCCGAAACACCCTTCATCATTTTTACATCCCCCCCAGTTCATTTTGATACAATCGCTTAGTCCGCCGCTTCACACCCCTGAATTTAGAGTCTGTTTTTCTTGCAGGGCCAACAGCTCCTTACGATTTTCATCCATCTACTACTGAATCGATCAGTTAATTTTTCGCCTTTTGATCTAGAAGGATATTGGACCTGGAGGAGATGATTTACATAGCCCACAAGAGTTTTGCTCCTCGGAGGCGATCCATATATTTTTCATATTAGTCACTCTGTCGCCCATTTGATTAAACTCTGTTACTAGAACACAATCACCGGAGGGGCACTGTTTCGCTGTTATACCCAGATCTACGCATCTCGTCCCACATGGACCAACTAAATAAACACACCCACTCACCACAATGACGTGAAGTGGACAATTTACGGTGGACTGTGCAATACCGAGATATTGTTGTTTTAGTGGTTTCGAAGATGGACATTGCAATACCCATCTATAATATAGATAGACTACTGTGGACAACAAAACATAGTACCACAACTATAATATAAAAATACAACAGAGGCCATTCCAATGGACGGACTTTAATGGACATGATATATCACTATTCAATAAATGAGGTAACACATGGAAGGTGGCCTCCATTGGGGTGGCCTCTATTGTCCAGAGAAAAATGGATAACTCTTCTCCCAATGAAGAATATGCATGGCATTAGTTTAGATACCAAAATGGACAGTCTACAATGGACATGATCTATCACTCATACAATGGATAGATCGTACCACAGCTATAATCGTATACAATAGTTTACATCGTTGGTGACCTATTCAAATGGACAACTAGGAGCAGACGAATATGGATAGTATTCAATGGACGAATAACATATTCTACGCACAGGGCCCAAGGTAGTTGGCAGGAGTATTCGAATATACTTTTTCTAAAGGTTTAACACCAGCCACACAAAATCCTAATCGACTCCTATAATTTCCATGTACCTGCAGGAGGTCCACAACTTAAATGCTAAATTTTTAAATCTGGAGTATCTTTTCTCGAGATTAGGGAGGACAGATTTTGTGCCCCCTTATTGGTTCAAATAAGGATATATCTAATAACCAGAGGACGGAACTGTTGTAATCTCAAGTTTTGGAGCACAGTTTACTAGGATTTAGACAGGATTAGCCTAATCTACGGGGGTTTAGTATTGCTAACAGTAGCCACTAGATTTGAAGCTCATTTAATGCTCCACATTAATCTTTCCCAAATCTCTGTTACCAAGAGTAGTTGACTTTTGAAACCATCTACACAGACACCCACTTCAGGGGATCTTATCAGCCCCCGCCTCTTCATGGTGTTAGGTGCTTCTATAATCGTCATCTTTAACCAGCCATAAAGGCGGGAAGAGAATGGATGAACACTGCCTTGTTGTATGCAGAAATTGGAGAATAGAAGGTAGCAGATTGGACTTCATTGTCGACCAAAGCCGGATGTCCAGAGTCGTCGAGTTGCATGAGGTGATGAGCATCAGTGAGCTAAAAGAAGCTGTGTTGAATGAGTTTTCCCCGGAAGGCTCTGTAGGTGTCTCAGCAGATCTTACCAATTAGCCTCCTTACTCGACTGAACTAGTGTATGGGATAGCGACGCCACCTGTGCTCATTACAAACAAAGGAGGGATTAAATTCTTCTTCAAACATTTCCGCATCTCAGCATCTATGAACCTGTTTGTATTTTTTGGGGTGGATGATGACTGTACTAGGAAGGATGGACAAGACGACAACGCACGAGAAAATAATACCCCCGCCTCAGGGCATATCAACACTGCTTCCTCAGATGAAGTTTTGCTGTCATCCAGGTCTGACTTTCTCGTAGTCTCTGGTGAAGGAAGCTTTTCCGGGAACGCAGGTGTATTCTCTACGCCGTCGCAAGGGATGAAGAGAAAATGGCTAGGGGATGGATTCTCCAACAATAAGCCGAAAGGAACCTCCGGACCGACGAAGTTCCGCGACGCCAAGCCCACCACCCTCTCTGACTTGGACGACGTAGAGATTATTGACAATGTGCAGCAAGCAGAGGAGGAGTTTTTCAAACACGCCCGGTCCAAGAAACCATCCACACCCTCTGATGGCACCGATGATTTAGACTACTAGGATTACCATGGTGTTTCCCCGGACGTCTCAGATGTTAGGCCGGTCGGTTATGACTCTGAGTTCTGGGATCCACTAATAAACGACCCTCTCGGCGGCTCGGATGCCGCAGACATCATGTGTCCAGCATCCGAAGGCTTTGACGCCAAAGCTGCATCCATGGGGATGCGTAGAGAGTACATGTGCTTCAGTAACGACGTCTTTGACCGCTCAGTAGTCAATAGCTACATCCTCAAGAAACACGAGTACCCATGGCTCCCAAAGTCCTTTTATGAGATGGGGGATACTAGCAACCCATAATCATGTGCCGTTGAAAAGGATAGATACCCACAGATGCACCATTCGACAATGTCCAAGGGCTTCGACCAAGGACGATATCCAGTCCCCGAAAGGGGTCACTTCAGCAAAGACCCAAACTCACAGTGATCCAATATACAGACCGTAGTGGACAAACAATCCAATGCCCGCCATGCCTGGGAGGGTTTAAATAATGGACAGTCAAATGAATGGAGTAACAGAATTCGACAACCGAGAATGGACAGCATACTACGGCGAAATCCTCAAAGTACCGCATTTGGATCCATACCTATGTGGAAAATACTGCATCTGGATCCATACCTACGTGGACACACGGGCGTGGACAGACGTCCGAGGTGCCAAATGGATTACCAACTTCGTTAGATGGAATAGACGATGCGGAGTTCGACATCCCACCTCTTTTTGACGATACTAAGTACGTGGGGAACAATAAACCAGATCTGGACATCGATTCAGTCGACGAAGGAATCCACGTCGGTAAGCTATTCAATAGCTAGCAAGAGTGTCGTATAGCTTTGGCCATCTACGCAATCAAAGGAATGTTTACCTTTCAGCAGAGCTGGACAAAGCGGCACTACTTCGTTCTCAGCTTCTCAGTTAATCTCTACCACTGGAGAGTTATGGCGAGAGAGGTCGGTGGATGTGGATATTACGAGATTAAGAAGGCCGGTCTAGAGCACACCTGTTGCCGCGAAACAAGAGATGCCTACAAGAAAAAAGCCTCAGCTAGGGTTATCGCTGTAGTCTTCAAAGCAAAGTTTGGTGACCCTGACAACGGTCCCCGCGCTGCCCAGCTACAAAGGCTCGTGTTGGAGGAGTTGAGGGTAAACTTCCCCTATATAAAATGTTATCGAGCTGTAAGGAAGGCCATCGGTGATTTGCGTGGCTCCGATGAGGATTCTTACGCTACTCTCCCCATCCATTTGCATCTGTTGAAGATGGCCAATCCAGGTATTGTCGCTGATTTGGAAATTGATATTGACGAAAAAGGTATTCAGAGATTCCTATACGTCTTCATAGCATTTGGCGCCTCCATTTCCGGTTTTAGGGAAGTTAGACCCCTCCTTATTCTAGATGGCACTCATTTGTGGGGCAAGTACAAAGGGGTACTGCTAACCGCATGTGGCCAGGATGCTAATTTTCAAGTGTATCCCCTAGCCTACGCAGTTGTCGATGGCGAGAACGACGCCTCTTGGACCTGGTTTCTGCAAAAGCTAGAAAAAATACTGCAAGATAGCCCGATTTTGACCATTGTGTCTGATTGGCACAAGTCCATTTACAAGGCCATCATGATTGCATATCCGAAAGCAAACCATGGTTGCTGCATTGTCCATCTAGCTAGGAATGTCGGCTCTAAATTCCACAACAAGGGCTTGGGGAAGTTGGTTACTTCTGCAGCTTTCGCGTATAGGATGTCTATTTTCAAGATTATCTACGACAAAATCAGGGCCTCCAACTCGGTCGTAGCAAAATATCTTGAAGGGATAGGAATGGCTCACTGGAGTGAGGGTATTGCAAGAGCGAGCGTTTCAACATCATGATAACCAATGCTTGTGAGCAGTTAAACCAGGCATTAAAGAAGGGTAAGGGTTCACCTATTGTCTTGCTTCTCACTTTCATCGAGGAAATGATGACTAAATAGATCAATGCCAGCCGCAGAAAATCCCTTACATGTTGGGGAAACCTTCCTCCAGAGTTCGACATACTTTTAACAGAGCATATTTAAGATGTGAAAGGTAGCAAAATCAACGACATCTAAAAACTGGTATTGCCAGATTGTGGGTATTTTTGGTGAGAAACACAAGGTCTGTTTGACGGACAAGACATGCTCCTGCAAAAAGTACAATCGGCTAAAGATCCCATGCGGCATGCTTTACTTGCAGCAGACAGCTTACAGCTACCATATAGCTCATTGGTCGGACCAGAATACATAGTAAAAACCTGGCAGGACACTTATTCCGGTGTCATTTACCCCATCGAAAACGCTGCAGATGAAGACATCCCACCAGAGATAAGCAAGGTAGTTCTGTTTCCCCCTAGGAGCCGTAGAGCATCGGGCAGGAGGAAGGAAATACGCTACCCATCCGCTGGAGAGATACCTGTAAGCTTATTTTTTAAGATAGAAGGAGTTTGATTTATTACTCTCTAAAATAAGAGCTTCGAATTGCTTTCAGGTTCCCAGAGTGAAGAAGCTGATCCCCAACAAAAGTACGAAGTGTTTCCAACCAGGACACAACCGCAATACATGCTCTAAACCCACATAAAACAGGTCTGTTCGATATCCATGTTATAGAGATGTGGATAGCAGAGAGGCCCACGATTAGGTTGTCTCCATCGTTGCCATGTAATAGAAAGGTTTTATTTTTATATGTTTGCATACGAACACTTGGGTGCCAGTCCTCTCTTAACCCTTTTTGGACCATCGTTGTGTCGATGACCATTAATGCCACTTAATCTTCAACCATGACCATCAGTGCATTTATGTGATCCACCCATGCGCTACTCAACATGGACGTTGAAAAATGGACAGAGATTCACTACACGGCTCCTCACGTAGTTGCCAAATGGACACAATCTGAATGGTTAGAAGATGACTGGTCTGGTCTATACGGACACAACAAAAATTATGCTCCTCACATAATAAAACACCAACCCCCCCTCCCCCCCCCAAAGTTTACATGGACTAACTTTAATTTCTCTCTATCTCTACAATAGAAGTTACCGTGAAACCACCATAACGTCTCGCAAAACCACATGGACGGCATGCAACGGACACGACAAAAATATTCAACCCTACGTAAGGCCTGATTGGACATGCATAATCTATGTTTATCTTTGATTGTACATATGGACACCAGACGCTCGGGAGTTCCATGTTTTCCTTACGCATAAGAAAATTCAACGTTTTAGCTAACGTATGGTCTGTCAATCAGGGGTACACACCTCTCGAACAGAACAATTCCTCGACCTTATGGACATACAAAACTAGACTAAACCTACCTACAAAACATAATATGTGTGTAAATTAAGCTACCTAAATGGATAGACTACGATGAACATGATCCATCACACCCCAGAACTACTGTAACGTCTGCACAATACAACATCCGATCGACAAAAAAATAGTCATAGATTGATAGATTTTCAGGTGCAGTCATTCATGGCTCATTTACGCATCGCCAGTCAATCAACGACAATTACCCATGGACCAATCCACCACGGTTGGTCAGCAGTCATGCACTCCATACGTTAGAACGACTTCTCGTTATATAACATGGACAAGAAGTACTGGTCAGTGCATTAAAGGACAGTGAATCGATGGTAGATAGTTGGTAAAACAAAATGATTCACCGCCCACATCTTCGCTGCCTAACTCCAAATGTATGGCCAAAAATGGCCCCGCGTTCTATCAATACATAAGATTCATGAAAAATAAAGGCAAACCCAATGGACGGTTTGCAATGGACACGATATATCCCTAGTCAATGAATTAGGTAACGTATGGACGGTTGTTCAGGGCCACAACTACCAGTCCAGCTAAATTCCACATCCACTCATGCACAAGAGGTACTGGTCAGTGCATTGCGGGTATGTAGTTGGGGAAAAAAACCAATGTCCCGCCCACAACTATGCAACCTAACACCCTATGGACAGCGAAAAATGGATTACTCTTCCCACAATGAAGAATATGCATGACTTAATTTTTCATACCAAAATGGACAGTTTACAATGGACACGATCTATCACTCCCACATTGATAGTTTCACTTACACAATACTACATCCACTCCACCAAAAAAACTGTCATAGATGGATAGATATTCACGTACAATCAGTCATCACTTACAACACATGGACGGTTAATCAACGAAATTTAGTTATGGACCGCCATTTCGTTCTACAACATCCACCCTTGGTGAGGAGGTAGTGTACAGTGAACCAAGGGGTACAGAGTTGGAAAACAAAACTCTCACTACATAATATGCTCATACCCCAATGGACCGAGTTAGTCAATAGCTCCTACCCCAATGGATCGACCACAATGGACATGATCTATCACTTTTCACAATTTCAGTTATGCTAGGACAATACAACATGCACTCCACTAATGCTACAGAGTTGGACAATAGCTCCTACCCCAATGGACAAGATCTGCTACAGAGTTGGACAATAGCTCCTACCTCTCACTTTCCACAATTGTTGTTATGCTAGGACAATACAACATGCACTCCCCAATGCACTATCATAGATGGTTAGATACTCAGGTTCAGTCAGTAATGGCCATCCAGACATGGACGGCCAATCAACAATCGGTAGTCATGGACAGAAACTTCTTCCGAAAAACTAATTTCACAAACGGAGAATGGAAAACGTTCACATTCAAGTTAGGAACTTATCAAAATACATCGGACGCCCAATCAGGGGATTGAAAACAAACAACCAGATAATTATACAATACAAAATTAGGGTGTGAGATATGTGAGATTACCAATTCAACCCCCTGCCGCTTTGTTCTATGCCCATCCACACAAACTACCTAAACTCTACGGTTTCAAAAATGCCATGATCAGTCTGGTAATTATTATAAAACATCCCCACGATAGCAGAATCAATTCCTGCATCAACATTTCCGCACCCTTCGCTGCACTGATTTCCTCGGCATGTTTTGAGGTACCTGCATCATCTTCATTTGCTGCGGATCCGTCCCCCGCCGCCGCAACGTAACTACGAATGTGACCTTCTGTTAAAGTCTCTGTTAATGCCTTGTTTTCTTTCTCTAGCCAGCGGATCTTGTCTCTCGCCTCAGGCAAACTCTCCATTTGTCAAAGACAGCAACTCTCTCCGTGTCCATCCAACAGAAAAACCATGCTTCTCGCAACTTTAATAGCGTCTACCAGGGTTCTCGTCCGTCCAAGCCTTACACTGCTTAGTTACTCGCCCACAGTAGCACAGAGCCCCCTCCAAGTCTTCCTCCCCTCGCCTACGGAAATTTGTAAAAGACATCGAGCTACTGCTCTGTGCCATATCGTGTTCTTTCGCAGATCTACTTATCACCGATAACCAGAAACAAAATCCTCTTAATTAATCCACATCTCGCTGTCCTACCTCCTCAGCCACATAATAAAATTAAGTTAACGATAAGGTCATGCATCGAATGGGCCAAAACAGCACACATGGCACAACCAGGATTATGTGGCTGTATCTACTGTTAAAGCCCATTCTTTTGTCCACCATTATCTGTCCACGCAGACTTCAAGCTCCACTACCAATCACTTGCCCTCATATCGTCACAAGAGCCCACAAATACCCATCTTTAATAGCCCACAACAAAACACATGGGACAACCACGATTACGTGTCTGCATCCACTTGCCCTCCATGCTTTAACGCCCACTCTTTTATCCACCTTTATGCGTTCATACAGACTTTTATCCACTTTTATCTATCCACGCAGACTATTCTCTACACCAATAACCACTTGCCCTCATATCGTTAAAAGAGCCCCAAATACGCGATTAGGAGTAAAACATACTACCAACAATCATCACTTAATTGCAATGGACGACAGTAATAGTGAATTGTTCTATTAAATATTAAACACATAAGCATGTTATTGTCAGCACAGGAAGTTTCGCTTACATAATACATATATAACATATAGTCCCCATCGGCTACCAAATCTACTATCTTACACACTCCCACAAAAAGATACAGAGGAAAAAAAAAAACAGCCACACCATCACTGATTAATGGGACTCTACCACCACTTAAACACGTGTAACAACATACATGTTCACATCAAAAACAGACAACCATAGCCCACCAAAAAACTTTATCGCCAACTAATCCTACCAAATCACGCCCACTCCGCTCAAGAATACAGGGGCACAACAAGATCCCTATACAAGTCCATAGCATACTGCTTCCGAAAGTCATCCACTGCATTGTCGGTCAAACCGAATATATGTGGCGACAGGTCACCAGCGGCATGCATTTCCATAAATTTAACAGCTACAAGCCCGCAATCGCCTGACCTTTTGTTCAAGTAGATATCCTTCACTCTCGTCCACCCGTACGGCTTAACTCCTGTCAGTTGTGATGTCTGTGAACATAGACTTTTCACCGTGTATGATAACATACAACATATGGGCTTCATCCATACATTGACCTCCTTATCGCTTCTCAGGGGTGGGTACGGGTCCAAAATTTCAATGTGAGCCAGGTTCAGGTTTATAGCCAACCCAACACATGGGCACGTACACAGTCTGCGTATCTTCAACCCACCTTCTCCCAGGAACATTTACGTAAGGGCTCAAATCATACCATCGTAGTAGATCATTGTCTTTTGAAACTTTGAATTGATGTTCCTTCTTCAACAAAGCTCCAACAAAGTCTGGTAAGCAAAAAGCTATGGGTTCTTCACCAACCTTCTTAGACGACAGCCACCCCATCAAAACCTCCATATGCTATAAAACAAAACTCTTATTTAGATTCTACAAAATCAGGTGTACATATTTTCAATCAGCCAGAGTTGGACAACAAGGTGGACACCCATTCCTTCGCTGTCGCCAAATCAAGCATAAAATTATTGTTGAAGGCATATCCAGGCTTGCTGATGTGTCTCCTGCAGCGTTTTATTAAAAATTAGTACTCTAAACAACCGTTACATTGCATCTACAAATACACCACATCAGAAATAACTTACACATCATCGGCCGCCATAAGTGTCTACTAAAACAACTTATAAGTGTCAACATCCAGCTCATAGATTGGTGTGTCAAATGGTTGCTTCTTCTTTAGTTTTAACGCACATGTACGCTGTACTTCTACATCTGACGGAACATGTTTCACCACCTCCTCGACGGCAGGATCACCAGCATTGTCCGCATAATAACACCCAAAAACAATTATATATAACTCACATGCATTGTCCGTTGTGATCAAAGACTCATTTACAACCACCTCCTCGACAGCAGGATCACCGGCCATCTTCGAGTGTCCCTCTACTTCAATCTCCTGATCACATCAACACAAAGTTACTATGTATTCACTCCACTAAACAAGATCGAATGTTTATTACAATAGGTTACTAGGTATGCACTATGGAAAACTTAAACCTTATCATATAGCAACCCCCCTTCCTTCACTGTCGTCTCCTCTTCGTTCAACTCACTCCACAGCTCGAAATGTGTATTGACATCATCCCCACCCTGCTATGACGAAAAAAAAATTAGTTTTCGTTACCTTACTGATGTAAAACAACCT